GGTTCTAATTTTCAGTAAGGTGGTCAGAGAAGGGCTCCCTGGGGGGGCAGCAACCATAGTCGGAGGGACGTAAGGGAGTTACTCATGTGGATATTGTGGGCAGGAGGGTTCTAGGCAGAGGGAACAGCCAGTGCCTTAGGGCAAAGTGTGTCTAACGAATTCCAGAAATAGTGAGGATACCAGTATGTCTCGAATAGGGTGAGCACGGCGAACAAGGGGAAGAGTAGAAGGAAAGAAGCCGCAAGGGTGTGTGAGAGGTCAGATATATAGACATGTGTAGGCCATTGAAGGACTCCGGTTTTCACTCTAAGGGAAATGGGATGCCCCTGAAGGATTCTGAGCAGAGGAGAAAAGTAATCTGTTTCTATTATCGTACAGTCCCTCCTTCTGTTAAGTTGAGAAGGGACTGCTGTGGGTAGTGGTGACGGCGGCGGTGGGGCACCCAAGTGTAGAAGCAGCGAGACGGATTCCAAGGTTACTGGAATAATCCCGGGCGGAGATGAGGGTGGCTGGGACCAGAGCAGTAGCAGAAATGATGAGAAAGGCCTGAATTTGGGGTGCCTGGGTGGCTCTGTCCGTTGAGCATCTGACTCTTGATCAGGCCGTGATCACAGAGTCGTGGGACTGAGCCCTTGGTCAGGCTCTGCGCCCGGTGGGGAGTCTGCAACCTCGGCCCTTCCTCCCACTCACGCACATGCGCTCTAAGTAAATAAGTCATTAAAAAAAAAAAAAAAAGTACAGACTGAATTCTAATTTATACGTCGAAGACAGAATCAATAGGTTTCTTAGAGGATCCGACATGAGAGAGGAGAGTTAAAAATGACTCCCAGGCCTTGGGGTCTCCTGTACCAGAGTCTAAGGCCTTCTGATACCCCTTGTTCCATCTAGTCATTGGCTCAAATATAGAGACAGCCATGAGCTATCTCGCACTGCGTGGATGAGGAAAACATGTGTTTCATAAGATAGAAGAAGCTTGGGTCCTCCTTAGCCCTCGTTGAGCACAGCTGCCCTACCTCTCTGGACTTCCTCCTTCTGGATTACTTAGTGAGAATATATTTGCCCTGCTATTCTTTGGGGCTTTTGTTAAAGCAGCAGGACCCGTACCCTAACTCACTTAGCTTCCCTGGGCCTTGCCTTTAAGCACTGTGGCAGAGGCCTGGCTGTGCTCACGTCTTGCGAGAAGATGCCATGAGAAACCCTTGAGGAAGGAGCTCTTCCTACCAGTGGCCGTGGCTTCAGGAAGCTTACTGGGGGAGAGAGTGGGGAGCTTCCCCTGGGGACAACAGAAAGAGAAAGAAGTTGACCTTGTAAGGGAGATCTCTGTACCCCAGCAAGAGTCATTTAAGGAATACCCTTCTCAACCATGGAGGCCAACTATGAGGGGGGTTTTGCAAGTGACCATGGTAAGCTGATAAGACTCCTACTTTATAAGGAAATGGGGGGCAGACCTTGAGTTGCGCTGATATTAGACCTATACTCTTTTGGCAGAGGCTAAACATCCTCTGCCCTCTATTTCACATTTAAATGTCCCGGGGGCAGGTAACCATAAGAGGTTCAGTAGTTCAGGCTGTGGAGACAACGGGATTCAAGGGAATGGAGGAACAAGAAGGCCGCCCCCAGTGGGCAGCAGCTCCTCCGTCCTAGCCAACTGTTTCCATGCGGGAAGTGAGGACTTAGTGTTGCCAGAGTTTTTGAAGAATAGCTGGATATCTATATTATTAATGTGAAAAGCTTCCACTTTCTAAACGACTATTTCAGGACAAAGCAGCTGCAGACCACAATCAGCCTGTCCACAGACTTGTGACCCCTGGGGTGGGCCAACTCTTGAAAAGTTTGAGCTTTTAACAGGAACCCACTGGGTTAAGCCTCTGCCTTCAGCTCAGATCATGGTCTCATGGTCCTGGGATCGAGCCCCACATCGAGCCCCACATCCTGCTCTCTGCTCAGCCGGGAGCCTGCTTCCCACCACCCCCTCCCCCGCCCACTTGCTGCTCTGCCTACTTGTGATCTCTCTGTCAAATAAATAAATAAAATCTTTAAAAAAAATAAAATGGAAATAGAAACTCTGAATTGGCCTCGGCAGATGACTTGCCCCTTGGTCCCTGGGAGGCGACTATGATTCAAGGCTACTCGAGGCCGCTGCAGAGACCCTCACTTTAACTTTCTACCAATTAATACAGCAGATGAGCTATAAGTTGGGACAAAGGAAAGGGAGAAAGACAATCAGACTTTGCGCCAAGCGCGGAGCCTGACACAGGACTCTATCTCATGACCCATGAGATCATATGACCTGAGCAAAAATCACAAAGTAGGACGCTCAACTTACTGAGCCACCCAGGTGCCCCTAGAGATGACTTTTTAATTTTTTTTTAGAGATGAATTATTAAACTTGTGAAAACTGATATTCTGTTGTATCATCAATCGTGTTGTGTTAAACTTATCTGTTCATCTGTGGTGGGATAAGAGAAAAAGGGCAAAAAGGAGATAGAGAAAGAAAACATGAGAAAGTGTGTCCTCAGTTTAATCATGTGGACACAGTGCACACACACACGTGCTTATATACACATACACATATGGCTCGGAGAAGGGAGGGAAGGATGGAAAGCAGACGTCGCGGTGAAACTAGAGAAACATCTGGGCAAGAGAAATGAGCCTTGCTGGGCAGTCGCCCGAAATGAAGATGAATGGCAAGCGAATTAAGTCCTTCAGCCCAGGCCCGAAGGAAACCCTGTCATTTATTAAACAGGCAGAGTCAATCCACGTTGGCTGGCAGTGACTTTCCATCGGGACCTCATGGAGCTTTCGTGATGTGGAAGTGCTTTGCGGAGCGCAAGAGCAGCGCCGGGATGAGACTTTCAGACTTGACGGAAAAGAGGAAAGAGCTACTGTATTTGTCTTAGACCATATGTGCTGCTGAAAGGCAAATAAATTATTCTGACTGAGATGAAGACTAACAGAGGTATACGTGACTGTAACCGCTGTTGAGGGGCCCCTTAAGTAAGCACCAGGCTGTGCCCCGTGTGAGAACACACGCAGGCTCCCCCAGGCCAGGTTAGAGACGCGTGAAAAGCCCCCGGTGTGGAGCAAAGGTCAGAGCACTGTCCCTGAAGGGTATGGTTTGTTTCCAAAGAATGTGAAGAGGTTTGTTTACCACAGGATTTAGATTTCGGGGGGACACTCCCATTATCACATTCCTGGGTTATGGCTACTCGAGTGGCAAATGTCGAGTCGGGTGCACAGAACTGTTTTTTAAAAGTAAATAAATTGGTTTCTGAGCCATCCAGATTTAATAGATCGTAAAGCCTAAACCCATCTCTGAATAAACAGATTTCACTGTGAGAGTCCTGGTGGAAAGCGTGATGATAAATTGTCTGCAAAACCTAGATGACTGTGGGGAAGGACATCTGGTAGAAATGTGTATCATTAAACTTTTAAAGGTGGCTTTCAACTTTTAAACTTTTAAATGTGGCTCGGCTATAGAGGGAAACATTTTGTTCGTCTACCTTGACAAAACACAAAGATTCCTTCTGGCAGAACATTTGGTGAATGCAAAGGGGTTTCATTTAGTTCCATAGTGAGGAGTTAGATGGATTTTTACAGACAATCGCAGAAGTCTTAAGAAAATGTAGTCTCCACTCTACTTGGAACACAGAGGAGGATTTGATGTTGCTGATCTTTGTGTATGAGGATTGCTTGTGTAGAGCTCCCCTGTAAACCGTGGTTAAAAATTTCAAGAGCTGAATGTGCCTCTTGAGAGATCCTTGTGGAAACTTGAAGGAACGTGTATTTTGCTTCAGAATGAATGACAGAAATGAGGAGAAAGAATTGATAGACATGACGGAGAAAATCTGGTGAAAAGCACAGATCTGTGACCCAGCAAACTTGAATTTCCAAGGGCTGTCTTCTTAGGCAAGAGAGATTTTTTTTTTTTTTAAAGAATATGTGTGTGTGTGTTGTTGGGGGGGGTTGTTTGGAGGCATTGCTCAGTATTTTCCACTAGCTATCAAATATAAACTCTATACCACACCGCAGACTGTTCTCAAGATCTTTGACACCAGCAGAGTATTTTGCTGCCCTCTGGATGAACAGCCTCTACTTGGAAGCGATCACAGTACAGCAATGCTTATAAAGATACTCTATTGATTCGGTCAAGGGAAGCAAAGGAGGTTTAAAGAACGAAAGTTTGGGTTGTTTCAGTGTTCCAGCAGGTGCTTCCTGCTGGTTGGAAGATGATGGAACCATGACTGTCCCATTGCTTCTCCTGGTTTCACTTATCCATTAATAGAAAGGCATCTTGCCTATCTACAGTTCCTATGTCATTTATTACTTAATTTCAGACATTAAGATAAATAACAATAGTCCTTGACATACGAGAAAGGTGGAAGTATTTTGGTTTGGCTCAAAAAAAGGCAACAAGAAAAGGGGAGCGCCGGGCAATGAAGCCCTTGAATGTCATGTTCAAGTATTTGGATTTTATTCCATTGCCAGTTGGGAGCAAATAAAAATGTCTGTAGCAGGGAGGGACACCATTGAACCTTTGTTTTTGTAAAGATCATCTGGGAGTGATTTGGAAAAATGTTGCCATGACTGAAGCCAAAGATGGAAGGGCCTTAGGCATGAGAGTGAGAATAAAGATGAGGGAGATATCTTTGATAGATATCCTCTAGGAAATTAATAGACACTTTCAGGAAGCTTAGCTAAACTGAGTATAACCTTCCCAATAACTTTTTTATTGAGTTGGCATTAAAATCAACCTCAGGAAAGCTAACTAATTTTAGGCATACACATGTTTTATTCACTTTTAAAGGCGATGGGGTTGGGAGAAAGTTCTTCCCCATTCAATCAAGTGGTAATGAAATGATACCTATTTTTCACTCTGTTGGGGTCAAGGTCTTTTCATTAAAAGGCACCTGCAGGCTGATTGCAAGTCTAAACCCCGAGTTTCATTTGAACAGTTGGAAAGGACCCAGCACGTATTTGCAAAGTCAACACCTACTTACGCTTCAGTTGTTCCAGTGCTCCACTCAGAAATTAGGGTCCGGGTTTGTACAATCTGTATGGCTCTGTGGATTGCTGGGAGAGAACAGTGAATGATTAACCTCGGGTCAGGGAGCAACCTTCAGGCTTCGTTTGTTTGCGAGACTTTGAGCTAATGAACACACAGGTGTAATTGAAATATCCAGCAATAAAGTGGTCCATGGCTCTGGAATCACAGTGCCTGTTATCAGATCCCAGTCCCACCTCTTCCTGGCTGTGGATTCTTGGACAAGTCGCCTCCTACCTCAAAACCTCAACTTCCTCGCTTGTAAAATAAGTGTAGTAATAGCACCAACTCGTAGGGTTGCTGTAGTCATCACATAAGGAGATCGTCAAAAAGTGGTTTATTCAGGACCTAGCCCATAAAGCATACTCATGATTTGATTATTGATTATTACCAGTTCAGGACTAAATGCGGCACACGATGGAGGGGAAGGTAGAATAGAAGAGGACTTGTTTGTGTTACTTCATGAACAGTGTGAGAAGAGGGGCACCTGAGTGCCTCAGTTGGTTAAGTGTTCTACTCTTGATTTTGGCTCAGGTCATGATTTCAGGGGGCCTGCTTAAGATTCTCTCCCTCCCTCTCTCCCTCTGCCTCTGTCTCTAAAAAATAAAATAAAATAAAATAAAATAAAATAAAATAAAATAAAATAAAAATTTGTTTTGGGGGTGCCTGGTTAGCTCAGTCAGGAGAGGACGCCACTCTTGGTCTTGGGGTCATGAGTTCAAGTCCACATTGGGAGTAGAGATTACCTAAATAAATAACTTAAAAAAAATTTTTTTAAAGATTTTATTTATTTATTTGACAGAGATCACAAGTAAGCAGAGAGGCAGGCAAAGAGAAGGGGGGAAGCAGGTTCCCCGCCGAGCAGAGAGCCCGATGCGGGGCTCGATCCCAGGAACCCGGGATCATCACCTGAGCCAAAGGCAGAGGCCCCAACCCACTGAGCCACCCAGGAGCCCCCTAAATAAATAACTTTTTAAAAATATAAATAATGGGGCGCCTGAGTGGCTCAGTGGGTTAAGCCTCTACCTTCAGCTCAGGTCATGATCTCAGGGTCCTGGGATCGAGCCCTGCATCAGGCTCTCTGCTCAGCAGAGAGCCTGCTTCCTCCTCTCTCTCTCTCTGCCTGCCTCTCTGCCTACTTGTGATCTCTTTCTCTCTCTCTGTCAAATAAATAAATAAAATATTTTAAAAAATAAATAAATAAAAGTATAAATAAATACTTGCTTTGCTTTGGGAGGCCTGGGGGCTCACTCGGTTAAGTGTCTGCCTTCTGCTTAGGTCATGGTCTTAGGATCCTGGGATTGAGCCCCACACCCGAGCCCCACAGCCAGCTCCCTGCTCAACAGGGAGCCTGCTTCTACTTCTCTTCTACCTGCTTGTGCACACACACTCACTCTCTCTCTCTCTCAAATAAAATAACTAAAATCTTTTTTAAAAAACTTGTTTTGTGGGCTTCATATTTTTAAAAAGATTAAAACTGTATGGGGTTCACACATTGTTAGATGCTGCCTTCTGACGGTGTTTGAGTCGGGGGGCCTCTGTGTCTAGCCCTCAGATACCATTATTATCCCCATATCTGGCCAAGAGTGGTGAAAAATGGAATACTGTAGGGCATTTTAGTCTTCTTACTTCTCTCCTTTAAATAAGCTACTTATTTACTTTTGAATAAGGATATGGTCTAGGCCTTTTTACTTTTTTCTTTCTTTTTAAATGTAAGCTTTATGCCCAACATGAGGTTCGGACTCATGACACCAAGATATAGAGTTCCGATCAAGACACACATGTTATGCCAACTGACCCAGCCAGGAACCCCAACATACTCTAGGTCTTTATTTCACTTCTTTCCATATTTTACTGAGTCTGGGAGAATCACCACCATCAATAACGTATGTTTCAAAGCCTTGGTCATAGCAAAGAGAAATCCCCAAATCAGCATTTCCTTGAAAAGAGATTTTTCAAGGAATTTTTTAGCAGAAGGGATATGGGAACTGAATTTGAAAACTTTGATGGCACAGGACTTGTGTGACTTTATTTTTGTAGGGCATATGACCACACAGCTGCTGGAGATCCGAATTTTTCCAGTTTACTTTCTGAATATTTTCATTCATACAAATGGTCCACACTAAAGCTTTAATCCTTTTTAATGTCTCTGACAGTGTTATGTCTCTTGAAGAACTGATTCTGGAAGCAGGAGTCACAACAGGGCACTTCACCGATTACATGACTTCTCAGAAGTAGACACCACCCATGGTTTAAATTCTGAAAAGCCAGGGGCATACAGTATAATGCTGTGCAGCCTACCATAGCGTACCTGTTTTCTGTTTCATCATTACCTGGACTGAAGATGTCTTGTTTCTCAATCCCATTTTGTCCATGACATTTACAGAAGTGTAAGGCGGCATAGCCGATTTAGGGTGAAAACTGCATGGGCAGCCATTTGAGTCTTACTTTAATTTATACTAAGACATTTCCTTTGTTAAGGAAAGAGAAGGCCTGGGTGCCTGGGTGCCTCAGTCGGTTAAGGGTCAGACTCTTGGTTTCGGCTGAGCTCATGATCTCATGTGTCCTGAGATCGAGCCTTGCATCAGGCTCTGCTCTCAGTGGGGAGTCTGCTTGGGTCTCTCCCTTTGTCCCTGCCCCACTCGCACGTTCTCATGCTCTCTCTCCTAAATAAATAAGTCTTAAAAAAACAAAAAAGAAGAAGAAGAAGAAGAAAGAAAAAGAGAGAGAGGCTATTCTCCTAAAGGGGAAGGAACAGAAGTCAAGGGACTTGCAGAATAGACTGTATTTGTAACCACTTCAGAAAACAATACTGTGTGTCCCTCAGAGAAGTAGTAAGTGAACTTGGTCAAGGAGGTGGAAGGGAAACTTGTTTTGGTTGCAAGAGTAATGTTTTTTCAACACAGCAGCAAAAATGTGCGGGGTGGAGGGAAGGGCGACAATTCTAGAACTTCCTCCCATTCATGTAAGATTATGCCTGACAATGTGTTTGCCTTTCTCCCGCCCTGGGAGGACATGGGAGGGGGTGTGGTCACAGAAATGTAGTCACAGAAGATAAAACAAAGCCTAAGTCGAAAGTCTTGCCAATCGATCATTATCAAACAGTTGAGTGCCAGAACCATTATTTTGATGGTTTCGAGCCTTTTGTCATGAACAGTTAAAATTATTTTATGGTAATGGAAAGAAAGCTGGCGGCTTCTTCTCCATCTTGTCATCGTCAGTTTGCGTCAGGAATAGTTTGTTGAGGTCGTCCAAACAGATTTTGAGAAGACCACTGGGAAGCGAAAGCAGTGTAAGGGAAGGACTCAGGGGACTGAAATGACTTGACGTTATGTTTTTGTTGACATGTTTGAAGCAAACCAGCGAGAAAAGGAACACTGAAGGTGTCTGATATCTGTCTTCAGATACTCAAAGATGAGGAAAAAGTGAGACATTTATTCTCTGTGTTTCTCATGTTGGAGCTATGGCAAAAAAAATGTTGGCATCGCAGCCAGGAAAATTTTGGCTTAGTAGAAACAAGAATTTATAGCTGTTCAAAACAGAGAATGTTAAAACCAGCAGCCAACAAATTGAGCAAACAGATGCATAACATTGGGTGGGCACTGAGGGGGGTTCGGGCACAGGCTGGCTGCCGGATGGCGAGGCCCCAGAAGGCACCAAAGCACGCACGAAGGGGGTCTTAAACTTCATCTTCTAAGAGCAAGAATCTATGACAACTTTTTTTTTCAGATTACTTTTGAGCCCTTATTTTCTATCTACTTGATTGGGAAACTGAAGATGAGGAAAATTGCAAAACTTGGAAAAACCATTTGGCTGGCAAGCTGGCATGGTCCGAATTCTTATCCAAATATGTGACTGTGCATGCTCTTAAATTTTAGGCATCCAAGGCACAAGAAGCCTTTCTCCAACAGGAGAGATTCTTTTTTTTTTTTTTTTTTTTTTAGATTTTATCTATTTATTTGACAGACAGAGATCACAAGTAGGCAGAGAGGCAGGCAGAGAGAGGAGGAAGCAGGCTCCCCACTGAGCAGAGAGCTTGATGTGGGCTCGATCCCAGGACCCTGTGATCATGACCTGAGGCGAAGGCAGAGGCTTTAACCCACTGAGCCACCCAGGTGTCCCTGCAGGAGAGATTCTGAGAATGACACCTACTTAGAGAATAATTCAACGTTCCTGTATTAGAGCTATCCCTGTGGTTAAATGAAAAACAAAACAAAAGGAAACAAAAAACAAAGCCCTCTTTCCTACACATGAGGACTCCTAGCTAGGACGAAGCTGAGAATGACAGAAGAGAGCTGCTTGGGCTCTTTCTTGGACTTCCTCACCACTCACCACCTGCCACCCGCACCCCTTGGCCCAGGGGACGCCCCTGTGAGCACAGATTGTAACTCTGAGCTCCGGTCACAGAGGCATATTAATCTTGCTTCATAGGCCCCTGTTTGCCCAGAACCTATTCTGTTCCTGGCGCTGGTTCTGACTCTGCTGTTAAAGTCTCTGCAAAATGTGGAAAAGTAGAGAACCAAACTGTCTGACCAGGACCCTAGACCACCTCCCGTGTAGCTTCCCGGCAGCTGGGTTTGCGAGGACATTCAGACAAATGCGTATTTTTACTGCTCTGGAGCAGAGGTCTGCCTTGGTGAACTGGACCACACGTGAACCTGGAGGACAGAATTTGCCAAAGGCTTCTCCTTTCCTCCTGGATTCACTGGGATTTCTTCTTGGCTTCCTAAAGGCAAGGGTACTTTCAAATAGCATATACGTATCCAGGTCCTAGCTTACCACTTCGGGCATAGGACATGGATGAGAGAGAAGAAAATCAGAAAAGGGGAAGAAAACTTTTTTTTTTTTTAAGATTTATTTATTTACTTGAGAGAGAAAGACAGAGAGAGCACAAGCCAGGAGAGAGGCAGAGGCAGGCCAGAGAGAATCAGACACCGTGCTGAGCTGGAAACCTGATGTGGGGCTCCATCCCAGGACCTGGAGATCATGACCTGAGCCGAAAGCAGATGCTTAACCATCTGAGCCACCA